TGTGTGTGTGTCTGTTTGTGTGTGTGTGTGTGTGTGTGTATCTGTTTGTGTGTGTGTCTGTTTGTGTGTGTGTCTGTTTGTGTGTGTGTGTGTTTGTGGTACTGAGCCTCATCAGAACCCGACTCCTCTGCTCCGGTATCGGTGACCTTACAGCGGTTCATTGAGCCGGTTCTGGACCTGCCGGTCTCGAGGCTCCGCTCTGATTGGCTGCTCTCCTGTGTGACCTCATCAGCTTCTCAGCCCGGTGGTGTTCCTCAGGGTTCTGTTGTGGGTTCTGTTCTCAGAGCAGAACCAGCTGGCTCTGGATCTCTTCAGTGTTTGCTGAACGTCTGGCTCTGTTTTTCTTCCACGCACCTCGTTTCATGACCCGCTTAGTTCTGATCTGTCCGGCTCCAGGAAGTTTTACGGGTTTTCAGAGCTGCTTGGTTCTGACGGATGTGGGACACGTGGTCCTGAAGGACCCGTGGGAACAGTTTGACTCACATCAGGTCTTTGAATCAGTTATAAATGGAACTGAAGCCTTTGCTGTAGGACTGAAGGAGTCCTCAGAGGTCAGAGGTCACACACTCCTCCTGGATCTGAGGCTTAGGATCTGTGCTTCTTCCTGGAGGATCCAGTTACTGCTCTTTCAGCAGCAGGTTCATGAGTCGGGGTCTGATGGTCACATGACCTGCTGTGCACCTGTCCAGGTGAGTTCGGTGAGGTGTGCCGCGGTCGTCTGAGGGTCCCGGGCAGGAAGGAGAACTACGTGGCCATCAAGACTCTGAAGGGCGGCTACACGGAGAAACAGAGGCGGGACTTCCTGTCCGAAGCGTCCATCATGGGTCAGTTCCAGCACCCCAACATCATCCACCTGGAGGGGGTCATCACCACTTCCTGTCCCGTCATGATCCTCACAGAGTTCATGGAGAACGGAGCGCTCGACAGCTTCCTGAGGGTGAGACGGGGGACCACCGGTACATTACCTGTCTGACTGCCCACCTGTCTGACTGCCCGCCTGTCTGACTGCCCACCTGTCTGTCCCCTGCAGATGAATGATGGACAGTTCACCACCATCCAGCTGGTGGGGATGCTTCGGGGCATGGCTGCAGGGATGAAGTATCTGTCAGACATGAGCTTCGTCCACAGAGACCTGGCTGCTCGCAACATCCTGGTCAACTCCAACCTGGTCTGTAAGGTGAGACACACCTGTCTGTCTGTCTGCCTGTCTGTCAATCTGTATCTGTTCAACCACCTGTCTGTCTGTCTGTCTTGCTCTCGCCGAGATCGGATGCTTTCCCCCTCCTCTCCCTCTTCACTTTGCTTTGCAGCTCTGTCTGTCTGTGAAACTGCTCTGAGCCTCTCTTGCATCTTCTGAACCATAATTATGGACTTGTTCTGACCAGTTGGTCCCTCAACTCAATTTACAACATTTCTTCAAAGAGAAGACAGGCTTTAGGCGAGCTGATTTACCCTGTTGGCACGCACGCAGCTGGATATCTCATCGACTTGATGATGTGTCTATCTCTGCTGCATCTGTGGATTTTAAGGACGCATATTTAATATGCTTTACGATAACTGGTTCCTGCTTTTTGGATTCTGCTGGTGTTGGTTTTATCAACAATCAAGGAAGTCGTCGGCAGCAAGTTTGGACCCGATCACGCTGCTTGCTTTATGATGGCTTGGTTCGTGCCTTGAGTACCCAGACTCACATGCTTTGGGCAGAATGGATCAGATCTTGGGGATTTTATTCAGTCACGTTCCATCGGTGTAGTCATGTAGTTTGGACATTTTGGAACCGAGTGGACCAACACAGACTCAAGGTAGATGTCATTAAGTTCTGCCTGTCCCCAAAACAACTGTGTGTTTATCTAAGTTGGCTCCCTTGGCTGGCCTTGAAGGCCATGTTATCTGAATTCACCTGGAGAACATGTGATCTGACGCTCACCACCCCCTCTTTGAGGAATTTCCAACTGATAACCAGATGAACCAGCTGAATAAACTCTGTGTCATCATTTCAGGACTCTTGGATTCTCATAGACGTTATTCTTGGACATTCCTCGACATCCCTCGAGAATGTTTATGGATCTCACCGGAGGGAACAGGCTGATTATTATATCTTTATCAGAACTCTTACAGTGACCTTGAGAGCATCTATGAACATGCTCACCGCTCTCGTCTCCCCCCTCTGCAGAATGTCTACGTCACTATGTGCTTATTTGTACGAGGTGTTTTTTTAATATTAGAGGGTTTTTTTTCTCAGCCAAGAAAAAAGTCTGATAGGAATTTTTTTTTCCTCCAACTCCTACATGTGTCCAGTTAACCACTTTTATTGTCTGTCTGAACAGGTCTCACTTGTAAATGAGTGTTCGAGGCTCAATGTGATTTATCTGTTTAAATAAAGGTTGACTGTCTGTCTGTCTGTCTGTTTGTCTGTCTGTCTGTCTGCCTGTCCAACAACCCCGCTGTATGTCTGACCCACCTTCTATTTGTTTGACCCACCCTGTCTGTCTGTCCATCTTGTCTCGTGGCTCAGGTCTGACTGGTTTTGTGTGTTCTAGGTGTCAGATTTTGGTCTCAGCCGGTTCCTGAAGGAGAACTCTTCGGACCCGACCTACACCAGCTCTCTGGTGAGTCTAGATCCTCCTCAGGTGTCTGAAGATGTGGAACCTGTTTCCTAACAGACTGTTTGTTGTTTCAGGGCGGGAAGATTCCCATCCGGTGGACGGCTCCCGAAGCCATCGCCTACAGGTGAGTGTTGGTTCTGCAGGTTGGCCTGGTTCTGATAAACCTTCTGCGTTCTCCTAACGTTCTGCGTTCTCCTGACCTGCTGCATTCTCCTAACGTTCTGCGTTCTCCTAACCTTCTGCGTTCTCCTAACGTTCTGCGTTCTCCTAACGTTCTGCGTTCTCCTAACGTTCTGCGTTCTCCTAACGTTCTGCGTTCTCCTGACCTTCTGCGTTCTCATAACGTTCTGCGTTCTCCTAACCTTCTGCGTTCTCCTAACGTTCTGCGTTCTCCTAACGTTCTGCGTTCTCCTAACGTTCTGCGTTCTCCTAACCTTCTGCGTTCTCCTAACGTTCTGCGTTCTCCTAACGTTCTGCGTTCTCCTGACCTTCTGCGTTCTCATAACGTTCTGCGTTCTCCTAACCTTCTGCGTTCTCCTAACGTTCTGCGTTCTCCTAACGTTCTGCGTTCTCCTGACCTTCTGCGTTCTCATAACGTTCTGCGTTCTCATAACGTTCTGCGTTCTCATAACGTTCTGCGTTCTCCTAACGTTCTGTGTGATGGCAGGAAGTTCACGTCAGCCAGCGACGTGTGGAGTTACGGGATCGTCATGTGGGAGGTGATGTCCTACGGAGAGAGGCCGTACTGGGACATGAGCAACCAGGACGTAAGGACACGACACACGACTCCAACTGTTCTTGATAAAAAACTAATAAAAGATCAAACAAGATTCTAACAAAATGTAGATTTAATGTTGAATAAAAACATGAACACAGCTGCAGGTTCTTCAGAAATCAGGTTAATGTTCCATGAAGCAACCACTGAATGAGTTGGACAGAAACGTCTCCAAGAGTTGGACAGAAATGTCTCCAAGAGTTGGACAGAAACGTCTCCATGAGTTGGACAGAAACGTCTCCATGAGTTGGACAGAAACGTCTTCATGAGTTGGACAGAAACGTCTTCATGAGTTGGACAGAAACGTCTCCATGAGTTGGACAGAAACTACGTTTCCATGATTTGGACAGAAACTTCTCCATGAGTTGGACAGAAATGTGTCTTTGACTTGGACAATGACGTGTCTTTGAGTTTGATCTGGTCTTGTTTACCTGTCCTCCAGGTGATCAACGCCATCGAGCAGGACTACCGGCTGCCGCCGCCGCCCGACTGCCCCGCCTCCCTGCACGCGCTCATGTTGGACTGCTGGCAGAAGGAGCGGGCCGACCGGCCCAGGTTCTGTGATATTGTGGCATCGCTCGACAGGCTGATCCGAAACCCCGCCTCCCTGAAGGCGACGCACCTGGAGGCCCCAAGGTGAGACTGTTGAATGTGGGGGGTCAGAGGTTGTGGAGGCTTTGTGACCTTTGACCTTTTTGGTTGGACATGTATGTTAATAACTCATCAGCGTGTGATGATGTTGAAACTCCTGCTTGTCTCTTTGAACTCTCTGAGCGTCTTGAGGGAGGCAGCTGCCGAGGGTTCGATAGCTCCGGTCACATAAGAGTGGCCATGAGGCGGCCATGTCTGCGTCCTCCCCCCAGAGTCAAAGATTTTGATGCCACGCCGTTTGTTACGACTCTCACTACTGGCGCTCTAGTTCCATCTTTTAACGAAACGTCTCCAAAAATCATAATTTATAAAACGTTGAAGACAAATTCTCATTCAGTCCTGTCGAATGCTTTTTCATCTTCTATCGCAACAACTCTCGGTTCGGGGCGTCCTCTGATCATTCTACGACTGAAGCAGTTTTCTGTCATTAATGTGTTAAATATTCTGTTCAGATCCACACAAAACCCTGTAGAACCAGGTTCAGGACTGTTTAGACCCCCCAGAGACCAGTCAGCTGTCTCAGCCTGTAGGTTTAAAACCACTCCTCATGAATGACCTTTAACCCTTTGTGTGTCTCAGTCCGTCCCACCCCCTTTTGGACCAGCGAGTACCCCCTCCTCTGTCAGCCTGTGGTTCTGTTTCTGAGTGGCTCCGGGCCATAAAGATGGAGCGATACGAGCAGAACTTCCTGCAGGCTGGGTTCACCAGCCTGGACGTTGTTTCACAGCTCAACACAGAGTAAGATACAGCCGTCTGTACGTGCCTGTCAGTCATAACTCAGGGTGTAACGTGTTTAATTTACTGTCTGTATGTGCCTGTCAGTCATTACTCAGGGTGTAACGTGTTGAATTTACTGTCTGTATGTGCCTGTCAGTCAGAACTCAGGGTATAACATGTTTAATTTACTGTCTGTACTTACCTGTCAGTCATTACTCAGGGTATAACGTGTTTAATTTACTGTCTGTACGTGCCTGTCAGTCATTACTCAGGGTGTAACGTGTTGAATTTACTGTCTGTACGTGCCTGTCAGTCATAACTCAGGGTATAACGTGTTGAATTTACTGTCTGTACGTGCCTGTCAGTCATAACTCAGGGTATAACATGTTTAATTACTGTCTGTACTTACCTGTCAGTCATAACCCAGGGTATAACGTGTTTGATTAATTTGCTGTTATATGCGCCTGTCAGTCATAACTCAGGGTATAACATGTTTAATTTGCTGTCTATATGTGCCTGTCAGTCATTACTCAGGGTATAACGTGTTGAATTTACTGTCTGTACGTGCCTGTCAGTCATAACTCAGGGTATAACGTGTTGAATTTACTGTCTGTACGTGCCTGTCAGTCATAACTCAGGGTATAACATGTTTAATTTACTGTCTATATGTGCCTGTCAGTCATTACTCAGGGTATAACGTGTTGAATTTACTGTCTGTACGTGCCTGTCAGTCATAACTCAGGGTATAACATGTTTAATTACTGTCTGTACTTACCTGTCAGTCATAACCCAGGGTATAACGTGTTTGATTAATTTGCTGTTATATGCGCCTGTCAGTCATAACTCAGGGTATAACCAGTCTAACTGACTTCTTTCTAACTGACTTTCTGTCTGTTTCCATAGAGACCTGCTCAGAGTGGGCGTCACCCTCGCTGGTCATCAAAAGAAAATCCTCTCCTCTATTCAGACGCTCAGGATACACAAGGCCACGCCCACTTTACTCTACTGACTAATCAGAGTCCAAAGCCTAGCTCTTACCAACCAGCTGCGAGACTCCGCCTCTTTGGTTGGACCAATCAGAGCAGAACAGTTCAACATCTAAACGCCATCCTGTAAACTGCTGGACTCGGGTGCTCCATCCAGTCCAAGAACAGCTGATGTCCAGCTTGTTGCTCAGAACTCAGGACATTGTCTCACACCAGCCAATCAGCTACTCAGGAAAATGAAGAAGGCGTGGCTTGTTGTGATCAACCAATCGTCATTCAGAACAACGATCAGACTTTAACCCAAGAGACTGGACCTCTGTGACCCTGTCCCCAGATCAGGTTCTTCTGAGGTTAATGAGCCCCGCCCTCTTCCCAGAACAAGATTGGACTTCATGAGTGGATCAGGACCTTCAGAACTGTAGAATGATGAATACCGGGTTCTGTTGGACTCTGGGTTCTTCTCTAATGTGTAGAACCAAACAGAACCTGGTCCAGGATCAGCAGATCCAATGATCAGCTCAAGATGTTCCTGGAAGAATGAGTGGAGTCCTGGAACTGTTGGTATTCATCGGATCTTCCATCAGGAATGTTCTGGATCTAATCAGAACCTCCTCAGAGCCCTTGGTGGTTCGGTAAAGCTTCCTTGTTTCCCTCAGAACCTGTCAGGAACGTTCAGGATGTGCCTCCGAGAACTCTGCTGTGCCTTCTCAAGAACATCCTTCAGAACCTTTTGGAGAGATGGTTCCAGAGCTTTAGCAGAACCTCCTTCAGGTCTAACCTGGTTACTGTGGTCCAGGTGCTAAAAGTCCCTGGAAAACCGGAGGAGGACTACAGGAACTGGACTCGTGTAACTGACGATTGGACCTCCTGATGACTGTACAGTTTCTAAGGTTTTGGTGGATCCTGGGCTGGTTTCAAACATGACCTTTGACCTTTTCTCAGGACTTCTAACTCTAAGAACCGATGGATCGGGTCTGAGATCAGCTTTAAGTTCAGAACCAACAGAAACCCAGTGAGAACATGGTGGTTCTCCAGCTGACCAGAACAGAACCACTGAGGGAACAGAACTGGTTTCATCGTAAACAGACTCGTTTCATTCAGGTTCTGAGAATCTTCAGGTCCACGAGTGCTGGACCTGGTTCAGGTTCTGAAACGTGATCCGATTATTTTTTATGACCTCGTATTTGATGTTTTTATTCGGATCAAACGTTTTTTTACTGACATTTCAATAAAATCTGTTTTTGTATAAAAGTAAAAACATTAAAAACATGATTCTTATGTTTCAGTTTTCTGTGTCCGAAGTTTGTGAACGTTCAGAACCAAAGGTCCGTAAGTTCATCCAACCTTTATTTAGACAGGTTAGTCCCGCTGAGCCTCGGGGACTCGTTTACAAGAGACACCTGGATGTTCAGTTTCTGGATGGATTCTGAACCTGTTCAGAGAACCTGACTCAACCTGGGTAGAGGTCTCAGATCCAGGATCCTCCTCAGGTCTTTGATCCAGGATCCTCCTCAGGTCTTAGATCCAGGATCCTCCTCAGGTCTTAGATTCAGGATCCTCCTCAGGTCTTAGATCCAGGATCCTCCACAGGTCTTAGATCCAGGATCCTCCACAGGTCTCAGATCCAGGATCCTCCTCAGGTCTTAGATCCAGGATCCTCCTCAAGTCTTAGATCCAGGATCCTCCTCAGGTCTCAGATCCAGGATCCTACTCAGGTCTTAGATCCAGGATCCTCCTCAGGTCTTAGATCCAGGATCCTCCACAGGTCTCAGTTCCAGGATCCTCCACAGGTCTCAGATCCAGGATCCCCCTCAGGTCTCAGATCCAGGATCCTCCAAAGGTCTCAGATCCAGGATCCTCCTCAGGTCTCAGATCCAGGATCCTCCTCAGGTCATACACGGTGGTGGTGTCAAAAGGATTTGACGGAGGAAGTGTTCTGAAGATCAGGAACCATCTAAGGAAAGAGTTCCTCACAGCACTTCTGTTCCAGAACCCAGAGTGTCTGCAGGTGTTCCACGTTAAAACCAACACCCAGCGACAGCCACAAGAGGGGTCAAAGGTCAGCGCTGATGGGGATCATGTGACCGAGGAACCAGAGTCTGAACAAACATCCAAACAGGATG